TCTGTCTGCTGCACACCCTCATGCTGCCAGCCCTCCTGCTGTGTGCCTGTCTGCTGCAAGCCTGTCTGCTGCACACCCATCTGCTCTGGATCCTCATGCTGCCAGCAGTCTAGCTGCCAGCCCTCATGCTGTCAATCTTCCTGCTGTGTGCCTGTCTGCTGCAAGCCTGTCTGCTGCAAGCCCTGCTCCAGCATGTCTCTGCTCTGCCGCCCTGTGTGCAGACCTGCCTGCTGTGTGCCCACCTCCTCCTGCTGTGCCTCCTCCTGCCAGCCCAGCTGCTGCAAGCCCTGCTCTAGTGTGTCCCTGCTCTGCCGCCCAGCCTGCTCCCGCCAGGCCTGCTGTGGCCTCTCCTCATGCCAGAAGTCCAGCTGCTGCTGACCTGTCCCATGCTTCAGAGTCCCCCAGTGCAGGTCTGATACCCTCAGAGTTGTGATCCCAGCTGTCCTGCTCCCCACAACTGGGCTCAGCCTCATACCCACCTCTCCCTCCTCAGCCCCCAGTGTCCTCTGTATTGCTTATTCCCACACTTTTCATCTGGCCCAATGGGGCTACCATCCCATGACCAGTTGATGACCTGTGAGTCCTGAAAATCTTCTAAGGCCTCCCAGGAGAATCTGGCCACCCATGGGGACAGGTGTGTGTGGTACAGGTCGGTCTCTCTGGCATCCTGGCCCCAAGCTGCATGCAATGTTGGCCTTCCACTGACTGTCTGGTTGTCCTGTTTCTGTTTCTGTGGCTCCTTTGAAGCAGTCATTACCCAACAGGCTCCAGGGAGACACTTTGTGGCTACTGGACACCTGACCTAGTTAGAGACAGCAGGCTCTGGCCCTTGTTCCCCTGTCCTGGTCCTCGGAGCTGAGCTGACATGGGATCTCCTTCTCTGTGACCTCCCTCCTCCACTGAGCTCCCCTCCCCGTCCTGGCTGCCCTCCATTGCCATCTTCTACTCTTGTGAGATACAATAAAACTGGAGATCCACAAAGAGCCTGTGATGCTGATCTGGTTCTTTAAGCTTCCACATTTATTTACTTTCCAGTCTGACTGATCTTTTTCACATTGGTCTTCTCTGGGATCCAATTCTGTTTCCAGAAGTTTCTGCTTGTTCTCCCTCCTGGTGGCTTGTTTCCTTGTGTGCCTTGTCCTTTTGTGCTGAGTCGTGGTCTTTCCCTGACAGAGCGCCGAAGGAGGCCTTGGGTGAAGGTCCTGAAACACCATGGCTATGATCCACTGTGTTAAGAGTTGGGGCTTGCTCCCGAAGACCACACAGCACACTATTTTGGAGGGGTAGAGAGATCTTTAGTGGGCTGAGGCACTGAGAGGGAGGCCTGCCAACCGAGGTTGCTTCCCAGATCCCACAAGGTAGCCTGTGAGAACTTCTGCAAGTTTTCTTCCTACATCCACAGGTACACACACACAAACATACACACAAGGCACATACAACACACACATGCATACCTGTGTGCGCACGCGTGTGCGTGTACACACACACACGCACACCACACTCACACACAACACCCATTGCATGCATGCACACACACATAACATACACAACTCACACGCACACACACAGACACACACACTTACATAAATAAATCAAATCTTTTCTTTTTCATCATGCTGTTTAATCTAGCATGTTTCTTAGAAAGGCTTGTAGCAAGATCACAGGTACCTCTCCATCAATGTCTCCTAGAGAGCATTTCACCCACTGCTCTGTTTGGCCACTTGTCTTTTGTTTCTCTCTTCTGTAATGGTCAGGCGGATTCCTTTTCCTCAGTATCGGAGACTATTGGGGTCCAGCCCCTCGATAGTCCCCTCCCGGGGTCCGGGAAGAATCTACAGCCAGCTGATAATTTAGTCTTTGATGACATGAAATGAATCTACTTACGCAAAACTCTTTAGTCCATACGCTTTATTCTTCTGAATCAGTTCTCTCTCTACAAGTTTCTATTCTGCTCTTATGCCTAGCTCCTTTCTTGCCTGATTACTCTCTACAATTTTCTGCTGTCCCCTCTAAGTTCTCCCTTAATTCTCTCATCTTGGTTCTGCCCCATCTTGGTTCTCATCCATCTAGTTCCTTCCCATCTCAGCTCCTTCCCATCTCCTTCTTTCTCATCTTGTTCTTCCCCATCTGGCTCTTCCTCATCTTCCATCTCATTCCTCTAGTCCTCTCTTCTAGCCCTTCAGTCTAGTTCTTCCCTATCTCAGTTTGTTCCTCTTCAGTTCTTATCCATCTAGTTCTTCCATTCTCTTTTTTCTTCTCAGTCTCATCCCTCTCTGAAAATAAAACTGCCTTTTTATCCTTTTGACCCGTATCTCTCCAAGCTATCTCTGCTCCTGCCATTTCTGGCAAGTGTGCTTAGTTGCTAGGCAACTTGGCTAGGCAACCTCCATCACAGCTAGATGTACCTGTAAGTGAGAACCCTTTAGTTCTGAGTTAATTGTTAAGGGTGCATCTAAAACTAGAGATAAGACTTTGGAAAGGAGAAAGTTAAGTTTAATTGGCACATCTGTCAGGCCTTCTCAAACAGGTAGTCTGGACACTTAAGTCTGTTCTTAGAGAGTACAGAGGTATCTCAGATAAGATAGTTTTGTCTGTCCAGTTATGGTCCTGTCCAGATGCTGCTAATAACAATAATTTCAGAAAGGCCTGAAATTAAGGATCCTGGCTGCGTTGTTGCTTGGAAGGTTATCTAAATATTTCTTAGTAGAGGGGAAATTATGCCCAAAGAATGATGGAAAAGCTACAATAGCACATGAGAAATTCATATTAGGTAATGGCTGATAATCAAAAGCTAATATCACCAAGACCCCTTGAACCTCAGCTTGACCTCTGGAAGGCCCTTGGCTTCTTCCAGGTATTAGCTTGTCATAATCAGCTGAAATCCTACTTCATATATTTTTGTGGCTTGCAGCACCTTGGGGAAGAGAAATCCATGGTGTTGCCATTGCCAATAACAAAAATGTTGGAAAACCATGTGGCAAAGATGTTTCCATTGGCATCTTTCACGTGAATCACATCAAAAGAGCCAAGATGTCTCTCTCTCTATTGGTGATCACACCAATTCTTCCCAAGTTAGCACCTCCAGTCACCATACACAGGTTCCTGGTGTCAAACTTGATTTCATTGGTTATTTTGCTTGTCTCCAAATCAATCTGAATGATGTCATGCACCTTGATGAGGGATGAAAGTAGGCAATAGTAGGAGCATCATGGGTCACCTGGTGTGGGATTCCCTTTGTGCTCACAAAGATCTTTCTCACTTTGTGCAACCTGTCCTTGGCCTCCTCAAGTCTAATACGATGAACATCAAAGCGACCCTTGGTGTCATAGATCAGATGGAAGTTCTCTCTAGTCTTGTCATTTGATGACATCCATAACCCCAGCAGCGTGGGTTATGTTGGTCCTGACTTTGCCATCAATCTTCATGAAGTGCTGGCTGCAAATCTTTTTTACTTCATCTCTAGTCAGGGCATATGTAAGTCTGTTCCTTAGGAAAACTATCAGGGGCAGACATTCCCTCAGCTTGTGAGGACCAGTGGATGGACGAGGAGCAAACAAACTGGTCGATTTATCCAGCATCCCATGTTTTGGAGCCACCACACAGTTCTGATGTTTCTTGGGACCATGAGCCATGGCTGGGCTGGGAACGGAAAGAGACATCTCACCCTTGTTCCAATGGACGAAGAAATTAGGGTCGGAGGCATCAAACCATTTTCTCAAGACACGTTTGTCAGCAGAATGGGAATCGGTGGTTTGACAGGCTGATGGTTCTTTTCTGACGCACAGTGCTCCAGCAGCCACTGACCCCGCTGGCTGCTGTGATGCATCTTGCTGGTCCTCACCTGAAGGGACAGTCCCCAGCAGGCTTCCAATGAACATGGGCCTGGTCAACTTCCTTCCAAGTTCCAGAGCTTGCAGGAAGGCAAAGAGGGGCGGCAACAGGTGCCACCTGGGTCCTTTCTCTGCCCAGTGCCTGGTCTGTTTCCAGGAGTGGACCTGCCAGCCTGAGCATGGCTGACCACACGTTCAGCTTCCATCCAAGCCTTTGTTCACCGCATGGGGCTGGGGAGGGCAGTTCTCTGGTCCTTGACACCATGGCTCACTCCCTCTGTAAGCCTCCCATTGATGGTGGCCAGCCTGGCTTTGGAAGATGGCCACTCCTTCCTCGGAGAGTTCTGGAAATAAGACTTTTCCCCATCATGGGGAGCTGTAATCAGGCAAGAATGACCTTCAGCCATTAGAGTCAGAACAATTGTGGTGTGTGGGGTGCTGGACCCACATTTTTAGATGCAGCCATGGTCAAGGAGGCCCTGTGCTTATCCAGCATCCCAGAAGCCGTCATCTGTTCTGACTGTGTGAGTTTCTGTGGGACATGGTCACTTGGCTGCAGGCTTTGCTCTGAGCCATGAGTTCATATTTATTTTTTTAGCTGTTGGTGCGGAGGGTGAGAGGATGAGTTTATGGAATTCCTGATTGAGACAGGCTGGCTTGGCTCTCCCGCATTCGTTAACACTATGCCCTTGTTCACCTGGGTACCTGGCATGCTCTAACAGCGCTATCCAGCAGATACAGCCCACCTGGGCAACCTCCACTGTGCCAGGTTGAAAGTGGAAATGCATATCTAGACTTTCCACTAGGGCTGTTTGGATGTGGCTGAAGGGTGTCCCCAGAGTCTGTCTTGGGAGCCTGGTCCTTGGCAGGGTGGCACTGAGAGGTGGGGTGTGATAATGGTCAGAACTAACTCCTTTTTACCTCAGAGATTCCCTCGCCCCATGTGACCTCCTTCCAGGTCGCCATCCACCACAGTATGACACACTTGGGGGGAGGGGGGACCATGACACAGAACTGGGACTGTGCTGCCAGGCTCTCTGCCTCCAAAGCCATGAACTATATATAAATCTCCTCATTAGCACCTGGCCTTGGGTATTTCATTATAGGAACAGAAAACATGCTGACATCGTATATGTAGGATGCAGTCACGCCACTGGGTTGAATCAGCCGTATTTCTAATGTTCCCTAGTTGTATGTGGTTAGTTACTATCATATGAACAGTGGATGAAGTGTTAGAGCCCACCATTGCCAATAGCGATTAACGCCACATTGTGGAATCGATTTGAACTTCACACTTATACTCAATATCACTGCTAACTGAGACTTAGGTCATGTTCCCCGCCCCTGTGCCCCAATAGCCTCTCACCGGAACCTACATGCTGGCTTTGCCTCTGTCTCTTTAGTCCAGGCCACGCACACAGCTGCTGATTGGGACCTTAGATCATAAACACGGATTCTTCCCAGTGTTGGGGGCTGGAAGTCAGCTGAGGGGCAGTCAGTCACGTGGGGTATGTTCGGGGTCCTGGGTGGAGTACCACTCCTGGCCAC